AAAGAAAAGCGTTGTATAATTATGTAAATAAAATTTACGTCTTAGAATTACTTATTATCGTCTCGAGAATTACGTATGAATCGACTATTCGCGTGAATTTTTCTCAAATCAAAATACAAGAGCGCGGAGAATTATCAGTTTCTGTAAATGTCACTAACAATAAACGCAAACGAAACGAATAGATTCGATATGCGACTGTTCCCATCGAGCAACAAAGAGAGCGTTGTACTTTTCCGAGTGTAAGTTTGGCTTTGCCAGCGAACTGCTTTACGTGCTCGTTCGAGAGTCGTGTGTCTTGTGACGTCACCCGAAGCGCTGGCAACGTCGCCTCGTTCTTTCGGCGACGTTGTCGGCCCATTCTATGTGCCGGAAATTCAAAGCCTTTTCGACTTGACGTTAGATTACTGCTCGTTCCTGTGTATCATTTACATACATGCATTTACGACCTTCGAACGCATTTCGCATTTCTCGATTCGTCCGATCGATGCAAGAGACCTACGTTCAAAGAGACGCTGTTTCATAATGAAAAGTCGTTATATATCTCGGATACGGTTTGATCGTAAAGAGCGGCACGTTGCTCGGAGTGAATAATGCCATTCTGTCACGTCACAAAGCTACGCTAGCCAGAGAAAATCAATCCGGCGCTTCTCTACTAACCTTTTACTCGAAGAGCGTTGCCGCTCGCTACTATCCACGGTGAAAACACCGCGTTCTTCAAGGGTCCGTCGCGATATTGACCCGAGGTTGCGTTAGGTTATTTCTGTTGAGGTTCATGTACCTTTACAGGTGAATTAGTTCAAATTTTTCAAATCGCACGCATCGTGTTTAGATTTTTAATACGTGTCCAAGGTAGTTTCGGATCTAATATTAATTCGCAGATCGATTTTCAACCGTGTCCTTGACCTCATATTGCTGATTTGAACGTCGCATTCGTGTGCGATGTACATGTTCCACGCGACTATTTGCTTAACTTGGGTACTTAAAACCCTATATGTAATGATCCAACTGCGAAATTGGCAAATCAAAATAATTGCTTTTTTGATTAAATGCATTGTTGGAATTAAATATCGATTTTTTTTATATAATAGTTGATTACACGTTTATTTCATTTCTTAATTGTTTCTTTCCCGAATTGTTTTATAGTACATTAGTTAACATAGTAAAATAAAACGACAACGACCCACAAAGATCGCGTGACGAGCCTTCGAAGATATGGCCGATCCTTTAAATCAACCCCCGCGGCGTGTTTACCGTTCGAAATGGACTAAAGGAAGAGGATATGCGCGCGATATACGACCTAATTTAGTACCCTACTAATAACGGTGACGTCACGGTAGCTCGTCTACTCGTTACTAGTCACGGACGGTACGTGACACGAGACCAAACTGTAGAGATGAGTTGGGTGATAATGACGCTTACTCTACATTACGTTATGCGTTACGCTGCACTGTTCCTCGTGACACAACACGCGGTCAGTTTATTCCGTCGCGAATGCTTTATTAAGTATCCATTCTATCCATTTATCGTAAACATGATGAAAAACATACTATTCCATGTTACGGTCTATTTTACTGTCTACCTAGATTATATAATCTGTAACATGTACCCATTTACATTTGTCTTTCGAGAAGTGACGTTTTTACGTTACTTGAGCCCCAACAAAACAAAAAATTGAATACATTTCTTTCATTATGAACGTAACAACAACATTCTGGCTATCCGTTCTTCCGCGTTCAA